CTTCTTTTTTTGTGTCTTATCTGCAGTCCTTTCCTGGGGTGTCCTCTCTTTTCTTTCTTTTTTTTTTTTTATGTTTATTTATTTATTTTGAGACAGAGAGATAGTACAAGTGGGGGAAGGGCATAGAGAAAGGGAGAGAGAATTCCAAGCAGGCTCCACACTGTCAGCACAGAGCTGGATGCAGGGCTTGAACTCACAAACCGTGAGACACAGAGTCTGAAGCAGGCTCCAGGCTCTGAGCTGTCAGCACAGAGCCCGACATGGGGCTCGAACCCACGAACCGTGAGATCATGACCTGAGCCAGAGTCAGATGTTTAACTGACTGAGCCACCCAGATGCCCCTCATTTGTTCGTATTATATGAAGTTAGTTTGGGGGCATCTGGGTGGTGATTGAAACTCTCTTTGTGCTTTTGTTGTTGTTGTTCTTTGGAACATATAGTATAAGAATTATTTTCCTTTGAATGTTGGGAAGATATTTTCCAGCAATTTTATCAGTGATCCTTTTGGTTTATTGATAAATTTTCTCTTTTCCATAGTTTGGGGTTTCTCTCTTTGTCCTTTTATCATCTTTTTACATAGCTATATGAATTTCAAACGTATCTGTAAATATTAGAATAGTTTATCACAAGGCTTATAGTTTCTTTTGTTAATTATATTGTTTTTTATTTCTGATTTTCTTAACTCACATTTAATTTCCTCTTACAGGTGAATGAGACTATTGATCTGTGTTGTATTTTTAAAATTAATTAATTAATTTTTATTTATTTATTTTTAGAAACTGTAGTATTCTTTTTTTTTTAATTTTTTAATGTTATTTATTTGTTTGTGTGTGAGAGAGAGATAGTGTGAGCAGGGGAGGGTCAGAGAGAGAGGGAGATACAGAATCTTGAAGCAGGCTCCAGGCTCTGAGCTAGCTGTCAGCACAGATCCCGACGCGGGGCTCGAACCCACAAACCACAAGATCATGACCTGAGCCAAAGTTGGATGCTTAACCGACTGAGCCACCCAGGCGCCCCAATTAATTAATTTTTAAAGTAGGCTCCATGCCCAGCGTGGGGCTTGAACTCACAACCCTGAGATTAAGAGTGGCATGCTCTACTGACTGAGCCAGCCAGGTGCCCCTGTGTTGTATTTATTAAATAAATTACCTTGATTTTTTTCTGCTATGTTTCCCATTTTAAAAATCTCTTTTGAGATTATTTTTTTATTTACTTATTGGTTTGTAAATGCATTCCATATCTGAAATCTCAGTTCGTTTTGCTCTTTTCCTTTATTAAGTTAATTAAGGTATTTAGTATGGTAGATTTTTTTTGTAGACTCCTGTGTATTCTGATAGAATTAATATTTCTGTTTAAAGTATTTTATGTTCTGTGATTTTTTTTACTGGACATATTGACAGTTTAAATTGGAAAGGTGTTATATGCTTCAGTTAAAATACAATTTATCATTTATCACATAATGTATAATTATGTATTATACACAGAATACATGTTTTATTCATAGTGACTGTGTAGTATTAGAAAGATCTTTCATAGGCTATTTAATGAGAGCAGTTTTGTTGGCTATTTAAATTGTGTCACAGGACCTTTATTTGTATTTTTTAACTTAAATTTTATGTATTTTAAAAAATACACACATGGCATGAAACTCAGAGGGAACAAGAAGGGTTTCCACAGTGTAGTGTGCCTCTGTCTCTTCTTTATTCTTCCTTCCCTGTGAAGCAACTAGTGTTACTAGTTTGCTGTGTATCTTTCCAGGGCTATTTTATACATAAATAAGCAAATACATATGCATGTTTTCCTCTTTCACACAAATGGCCATCAGCATCTTTTTTTCACTCAGCATACCATGCAGATGACTTACATCAGTATGTAAAAAAGTCTCCTTAATTTTGATGCTGCAGAGTGTTCTGATATATAGCCTATATATATTTATATCTAACATTTATATATGTGTTATACATAAATATAAATAAATGTCCTTATTTGAGACATAGTTTGCCTTTCTTAGTGAGGAGTGGGTCAGGCTGATGACTGCCACTGTTTTACAGTTACTGGCCCCTTAAAGACGTGATGAGCTCACTTCCCATAAGGAGGGCAGTGCGTTAGGGATCGGAGGCAGTATTTAAGGAATTCTGAGATTGAAGGTCCTAATAATAGACATTTTTAAAAAGTGTTCAGTATAGTAACATAACAAATGCATAAAACGGAAAAGCAGTGCTTAAAAGCTGATACAGTGAACACCTGCGTGAGCCTGTTCACGTCAAGAAACGGAACATTTCTGACCTCTGGGGTGGGGCGTCTTCCAGCAGCCGCTGGCAGCCACTGTCCTGACCCCTGTGGTATTTGTGCTCATTGTCTTTATGGCTTTATCACCTAATTATGTGGTCCCAGGCAGTGCCAAGTTTTGGGTGTTTTTCCCCAGTGTTTTTGGATATCTGAAACTCTGTACCCCCAAGAGCAGCCTTGAAGAGGAAGGGTCACAAAGCGTGTACGGGAAGCGAGGGGACCACGAATCCTACACATCTTGCCTTAATGAAGACTGCGGACTTCAGGCTTACTATTATTAGGTGAACTTGAGAGCTTTCTCATACCACGTGATGGAGCTATATCTTCACTGTGGCCAGGATTCTGGAACTAGCTCTTGTGTTTGCTTCTTTGAAGTACTGTTTCTGAGTCACCTATTTGCTGTGACCAAGGGATGGTCCAGCCTGGGGTTCTCTGTGCCCATTCACTTCCTGCCCATGTCCCTCTGCTGTTCACGCTTAAGTACTCCTGTGGGTTGCAGAAGGAAACAAAAAATCTAAAGTTACGCTTTTTTTTTTTTTTTTTACATGTTCTTTTTTCTTTCCTAATCTGCAAGAGCGGTGCAGTTTAATCTTGGGGTTTATTTATAAATTCTTGTTCCTCTATCCCCTTTAGCCATCTCAAAAGCTTGAGCAAATCGAAAGGTTTCCTTTTTTTTGTGCAGATCACGCTGCGTTTGCTAAAAATATAGGTAGAAAGTGGCACTGTGGTCTTGATCATGCCTGATTTTTAAAACCAGAATGTTCTAGGGGTGCCTGGGTGTCTCAGTTGGTTAAGCGTCTGACTTCGGCTAGGTCAAGAACTCACGGTTCATGGGTTTGGGCCCCGTGTAAGGCTCTGTGCTGACAGCTTAGAGCCTGGAGCTGCTTCAGATTCTGTGTCTCCCTCTCTCTCTGCCCCTCCCCTGCTCATGTTCTGTCTCTCTCTCCCTCTTTCCCTCTCTCAAAAATAAGCATAAAATTTTAAAAACAGAATAGTCTATATGAAGAGGCCATAGAAATCATTTTGTAGTTGAGTTATTTTCAAACTTTGGGATGCCTAACACCACAACCAAGTACGCATGCAGATACTTGTAAAACACGAAGTTTTCACGAACTGTGCCCTACCTCCAGTTCACTCTGACCTTGTCATTCTAATTTCATTAACAATAAATGTTGACTGGGGATCCATGAAATGGCCTGCAAGACCCTGCAGTAGGTCAGTGCCTGCGGTAAAGAGGTACCACGGTTTTCTGGAGGAGGTGGTGGACTCTGAGCATTGACTGAGTCTGGCAAAGGTGTGTTGTGGTGAGGACTGTGGACCGCGGGGAACCTGCTTGCCCTGCGCCCCCAGCTCCGTCACTTGCCAGTTCCCGTTCTCGTGCCCCGGCCTCCTGTGCAGTGGGAACAGCCCTCCCCGCCAGGGGGTCTGCAGACCCAGGACAGAGGGTCCGGCTGTAAGGTCTCTTCCGTACACGCCTGCTGGATTGCCGGGACTCGCTGGGGTCTCTGACTTCTCGCCCAGTGCTCTCTGAATGGATTGCAGCATCTACCTTGACCCCGGAGGGGGGGGGGGAGGTGGCACGGTACATAGCAGCACAGGTGGACGGGAATTGCTTAGCTGGCGTGCTCGCCCTGTGGGAGTAGTGCAGTGACTGCTGGAGTCTGTGCTGGAAGCTTCTGTTAGTGTGTTACAGACAGGGGTGGAGACTGCCTATCTTGCCAGGTGGTGGCAGTGCCTTCAGTGTGGAAAAGTTGGTCTTTCTGTCCTTCTTCATGGGCGGAGGTTGATGCCCCAGAGAGAGGGAGTGAGAGAGAGAGAGAGAGAGAGGGAGAGAGAGAGAGAGTGTGTGTGTGTGTGTGTGTGTGAGAGTGTGAGTGATCCACTTAGGGAAGGCACAAGACATATTCTCCTGCCTGAGTCTTCGTTCTACCTCCTCTCCTTTTTCACATTAAAAATCCATTTTTTTCTTCTCTACCCACCCGCCTTTTAAATGATGACCGGTTTTTATGTTTCAGTTAACAATCTGTCCATAGAAGGAATTGAAGCAAATGTGTACATCAGGATTTAAATAAGAACATGAATTTCATACAGTGCCCTAGCGTGCAGAGAGAGCCATTCGTTAACACATGGTGGTTTTTCTTCCAGTCTTTGATTCACACATTAAAAAGAAGGTGGCAGTAATAGTGTACACTCAAGTACCTGTGCGCTGAGGTTACAGGCTACAGTGGGTAGATGGCTCTAAATGAGTTAGATGGCCGAACGAGGAGGGAGGAGGGACTGAGTGGGGGACCCCAGGGCCTCTTACTGCTTCTGAGACTGAAGGGGGCCTGCACTGTCTTCTGCTCTCAGGGGAGGAACACATAAGGAATTGGCTTTAAAACTCTCCCCTCCTTTCGGCCGCTTCTCCCGTTTGGCTTGCGCTCTTGAGGTCCGAAGAACGGGTCTTTATGTCGGTGTTAGGCTGCCGACAGGGATACCCCGTAGGTGCAGGTGGGCTTGCTGTCTATTGTGGGGTATGAAAGCCTAGTTGTTTCTCAGGGTTGCACTAAACATACAGACGCTGCTCAGTGCTTTTCAGATGCTTCCGGTCCCAGCCCTGTGCCGACTCGAGCCTGGGTGTGGTGCAGGGGTCACTGACCCTCCGCTGCACTTCCTGGGTGACCCACGTTCTCTGCAGATGGTGACCGGTGTATTTCCTCTTCCCCCCACAGACTTCGAAGCCAGCTTCATAAGGCTGTTGGACAAAGTAACTAATGGTTCTCGGATTGAAATAAACCAAACAGGTAAGCGCTCTTCCTTCCCTTTCCTGAAAGCAGCCACCTGTACCTCTCACACATTCCTCTACTTCGCGTGCCTTTTAACGGTATAAATGTTCGGGTGGGAAGTCCGGCCTCCCGGCCTGTGATTCAGTTGTCTGTGTTGTGTGTGAGATCTGCCGGTGTGAGAGGCGCACACTTGACCAAAAGAAGAGGGCTGAACATTTCAGCTCAAACAAGCACCTCCTCTTCTTCAACGACAAAAATACACCTAAAATTGATGTGTGGCTTTTTCGAAGTCTGTTTGTTTATTTTGTCACCATAAAATTTTATAGCAAACTCCCTTGAGATAGTTGAATGTGCTGAATTTTCTTTTTCTTTTCTTTTTTAAAATTTATTTCTGAGAGAGAGAGAGCGAGCGTGCATGAGCAGGGGAGGGTCAGAGAGAGGGAGACACAATTTGAAGCAGGTACCAGGTTCTGAGCTAGCTGTCATCACAGAGCCTGATGTGGGGCTCGAACCCACGAACCGTGAGATCATGACCTGAGCCAAAATCGGCCACTTAACCGACTGAGCCACTCAGGTGCCCCTGTTTTTGTCTTTTAAAAGTATGCACACGTGTATGCAAAAGATGTGAAAATCCCTTCACCTGTTTCTTCTTCCAGCCCCTCCCCATGGGGTCGCTGAGGTCACAGGCTGGGGTGTGTGCCCTGGGCACCTTCCCACATGTCTCCTTACACGGGCACCTCAGTACCTCAGACCCGCAGTGGCTCACGCTCCTCACGTTCTGTGGCCCGCGTGTTTTCCCTGCAGCCCATGTCTCAGGGAACTTGCCCTCCACGCATATGCGGGCCCACTTCAGGATGTCAGTGCGCTTACTAGAGTGTTCTGTCGTAGGGATGCATGGTAATTTATTTGATTGCTTTCTGCTGATAAACATTTAGGTTCTTTTCAGCTGTTCGTTCGCTATTAGAAACTCTTCTCTGGACACTTAAGGGAGAGCATGGCACACATACTTTGGGCAGTTCCCTGAGCTGGTCACCTTTGCACATATACTCAGCCCAGGAAACCCCAAGCTTTCTCATGCACCGGCTTTCTTAAGAAGGAAGACCAGCTTGGCCTAATAAGTGGCCGGTGCATCACGTGAGACTCCGCCGTCTGGAGCCGCATTCAGTCATACTTTATGGAGAACGAGTTTCAGGCCTGAGGCCTCAGATGCTCTTTGCAAGCTGTTGTTCCCTGAGTGTTCCTTGGCTTGTTTACTTGGAAATTGCTGGAGATTTTTTAAAAATTTAAAATTTTTAAAATTGTTTGGCTGGAGATTTTTTTCCGGCTGTTTTTATCGTTGATTCAGAGGGTGCGTAATTCTTCTCTAGTCCAGTCTTCAGCTTAAGTTGGTAAGTAAGACATTTTACAAGATCCTGCTTCCACTTCATATCCCGACCTGTGTCCACCAGAGTAGAAGCCTTCATTCTGAGAACCTGACCAAGTTGTCACTCTGTTAATTTGCAGGCATAAACAGGTTTGCAGAATTTAGTGGTTATGTAGTTTTGTTTTGTTTTGTTTTGTTTCTGGCTTTTTGACCTAAAGGATTGGTTTTGTGCCTCTAGTAGTATTTAGACTAACTGATGTAGACTCTTTCTCACTTTGATCAGAACAGGACTCCAATTGTGATCATTGGGATTTTGGGTTGTTTTTTTTTTTAAACATTTTTATGTATTTCTGAGAGAGAGAGAGACAGGGAGGGAGAGAGACAGCATGAGCATGGGAGGGTCAGAGAGAGAGGGAGATACAGAATCTGAAGCAGCTCCAGGCTCTGAGCTGGCCGTCAGCACAGAGCCTGACGCGGGGCTCGAACCCATGAACCATGAGATCATGACCTGAGCCAAAGTCGGATGCTTAACCGACTGAGCCACCCAGGCGCCCTGGGATTTTGGTTTTTAATATAATAAAGCCTACATTTATTTTATGAAACACACAAGAGCGGCTTTCCTTGTGAGTGACTGAGCATTCATCTCTTTCCTCTAATCTTGAATTTATTGATAAATTGTGCCAGAAGACATTGACAGAAGGTTTTGAGCAGCACCAATACCGTGTTCACCCATTTATGCCCTCCCGCCCCCAATCTAGAATATTTACTTTGCTTTCCCTATTATACATATACCCAGTAAGAAACTTTTTGGATGATACGAATATGCAAAGGAGTGAGCGGGGATCCTAGTTTCCACCAAAGCTATTTGATAATTTTAAATCTATTTGTTGTTAAATTAAAAGAGCTACTATTAATGGAGTTAAGTGCCAGAAAGTACTTGCCTGCTCTAGGAATCCTGTCAATGAGTGCAGTTTCTGGGAAATCTCATTTCAAGAGCCTGGAAGAGGCTGGCTGCTGATGTGAGGACTTCAGCATGTCGTCTGCGGAGCCCTCCGCCAGCGGGCAGAGTGTGCTGTTGGAAGACCACAGCGCCCGCTGGGATCTCTCCTCTGTGCCCTGCCACGGCTTTGGCACTTGAGATGCTTAGGGAGGGGTTTAATTTATTGCTGTTTATTAAATTACACTCACAGTTTATTATTGTTACAGGGGCTTGACAGTAATGAGTCAGCTTTTGGAGTGAAATGTGGGCTCTTGGGAATGGCATTTTGAACTTTTTGGATGCCCTTGTCAGAGTTTCCCCTTGGGACTTGCTGCTTTCCTTGTCTTTGTGCCACTTAGTGTTTTCTGGTTTTTTTGTCTTTTGTTTTTTCTGCTGAATGTGGCTCTCCCTCCTCGGGTGTAAGGCACAACCTTGTATTACCAGCCTGGCCTCCTGTACGGCGGGTCCCTGGAACATGACTGCAGTGTCCTTCGCGGCATTGGCTACTACCTGGAGAGTCTTCTTTGCCTGGCGCCATTCATGAAGCACCCGTTGAGAATCGTTCTGCGGGGAGTAACCAATGACCAGGTCGACCCTTCGGTGAGTAGTAGTGAGTAGTCTTGTCTCTTGTCACAACCCAGTTTTTGAGAAGCAACTTCCTGACAAAGCACAGGCTTTACTGTTGAGTGTCTTTGCTTTGTTATTTACCTTGAGATGTAGACATTCATCACTCTGGGAAGCGGATGAACCAAGATTCACAATCGTCAAATGCCGTGACGACTGTTAACATTCATCAAGGTGCCTTTCATTGTCGTGTCTGAGAACCTCAGAGCAGATGTGTGCAGCTTCACCATGGGTGACATGAAATATGGCTCTGTTGGCTCAAGTGCTCGAGCGTGGAGTCTTCTTAAGGTCACGTGATGGCTGTGGCTGCAAAACAGCAGACCAGAATTTTAGACGGAAAATGATAATATCCCCTTGGCATTGCTGTAGCATCATCTTGACTTACTCGGGTTTTAACCATAAATTTTAGGAATTTTCCTCTTCTGAGAAGAGTTTGCAGATTTAGAAAAAGGGCAGGGGCGGGGAAGGTGTATGTGACTTTGAGAGTTTGTGGGCACCAGCAGCCTCCTTACTAAGCATGCTAATTTTCCTGCATGTGTGGGGAGGATATTTTAATATATATCCAGAATTTTCATTGTGGTCACCCCAGACAGCTGTCTTAGAGCCAGTCTAGGATGGGTTTTGTCGTGTGTGGGTGTGGGTGTGGGTGTGTGTGTAAGAGAGAGTGAGAGACAGATTAGAGCAGTTCTTTCCAGGCTTGCCTTAGACCTCTCTTGCAGGGAGCAAGGATCTCCACCTTTTAATTCTTTGCTGTCCAGAGAAGGTATCTTAAAAGCAAGGGCCATGATGTGAAGTCCTTACCAAGGTTCACCTTTACCAGTGTGGGACCAGGGCCACGGAGAGGGTGGCTCCAGAGGCAGGATGTGAAGTGTGTGTAGCTTTCCTAACCAGTAAAGACCAGTTAGGCGGTGCGTCGAGCCCCACAGCGGAGACTGCTGGTATTCACCAAGACATCTAGGGTGTCAGCGTGGTTAATGTGTTGCTAGGCACTGGAAGACTTACTCCTCAGTTCGTGGGAGTTCAGGTACATGAACTCTTCCTAGGATCCTGGGTACAGTGCAAATACTGAAATTGTCAGCTCTAAAGGAATGCTGTACAAACTGTAGAATTTTAAACTAATTTCAAATGATTGCTTTTTTTCCTGCATTTTCTGAAGATTCTAGGAAATGGGCCTTTCAGTTAGAAATGTGACGGGAGGCCTCTCACTTCTGGATGGGGGTGGGGGGAGCAGGAGCCTCGCATAATGGGAAGAGCTCTGAAGCATAGAGGAAACGGGCGCTGGCTGCCTCAGTTCTGTACTCTTTTTTTTCCCCCTATAATTGCTAATAATCTTAAAAGCCATTACTACTGGCATTATTAAAAAAAAAGTTTTATATGGTTCCAGTGACAAAGATTAGTTGATAAATTCCCCAGAAATAATACTTTTGCATGCAAAGTATTTAAAGAAAAAAATCTGTTTTCAGGTGTTGTGGGGCTCTCTGCTTTTTCCAGCTTCATGGCTAAAATGACTTTGGTGAATAGTTGGCTCCGGCCCAGGATGAAAGAAATACACCTAATCCTGGATGCAGAGTAACTTCTTCAGCCTGTGGCTTCATCATTTCAAGCTTTCTCTATCCTGTTGGGCTTCCCCAGTTCATGCCCGTGCCCACTCTGTGCCCACAAGGCTGAATTCTAGGAGTTCTGCCCTTCGGGACCTCGATCTCATGAGGTGGACAGCTCTGGAGGCAGCCATGGAAGGCTATGAGGGTGCCCTTGTCAGAGGTACAGGTGAAGTGCTGAGGGCTGGGGAAGGTTTTCTAGAGGAAAACAAGCCACAGAGGCCGTCTTGGATTTTAGGAAAATGACTCTGGAGGCCAAGATGAGGATGAATTGGAAGGGTCTCCATTCCTTTGAACATGATGGAGGTGGAAGTAGAAAGGAAGGGACAGATGTCCTTCCGGACATTGTGGAGGGAGAGGCTTCTTAACTTGACAGCACATTGCAGATGGGACGGGGGAAGGAATCGTACATAATTTCCTGATTTCTGCCCCGGTTGACTTGAAGGGCAGGGATCAGATGGCATTTGACATGGGGAGGAGGAAAATTGTGGGATGATGGATGACGTGTGTAGTTTTGATCCTCTTCTCTGGGATCAGGATACTGGCAGGATATCCACAGGGCCTGTCCAGCCCACAGTTAGAAATTATTGTCTGGGGCTCAGAGATAGGTTGCCAGGATCCTACCTCCTGACGGTTCAATCCCAGGAGAATGAGGTTGACCAGCGCCAGGGTTGAATGCTGGGGGCTTTTTGACGTAATGAATTCTACATGTGTGCCTTCCCCCGCCTGAATAGTATGGTGGTGGCGTGTGTCTCTGACTTGGTGGTTCACATTTGAGACCCCAGGTTTTACGTCACAGTAGGTCCATGTGGTAGCACTGGGTGGCCATCAGAGGGACCTGAGTGGCGCCGTCCTCTTTGGATAAGATGTGAGTGCTCCTGTTGGACACAGGCCTTAGGTGGCCTCATCGTTCACTTAAATTCCCTTTCTGGCTTCCGTGGGCATTTGGCTTTTGCCGCACGGTCCCAGAGCCTGGGAGTAGGGGAAGAAGAGGAAATGAATGTTTGAGATGTGAGCTGGGGAAGAGGGGCTGGAGATGGTGACCATGGAGATAGGAGGCAAGTTCTAAGAAGCAGGCGGAAGAGCCACAAAGGCAGTGTGTGCAGGAGCCGACTTAGGGCGGGGTGTGGGGGTTTGGCAGCGAGGAGTTGTATGGACCTCGAGAGAGCAGTGTCCTTGGACTTTAAAGACAGGCATAGGTTGGGGAGTGAGTAGCAGACAGAACCATAGAGAACCAGGAGATTCTTCTAGAAGGTTAGGTACGATGATGGGGCTGTTTGTAAGGCTGACTCCCGCAGCTGCTGGAGGGGCGAGGGTAGACAGTAGAAGTGATAGAATGAGCCTTGTGAGGGAGTAGGGACATTTTCCCTTGGGGACGGAAGGGCAGAGAGTAGTGTGAAATTCTGAGAAGAAAAGTTCAGGAGGTCTTCTTTGAATCTCCGTGATACTGCACCAGAGCACATATGTTTATTGGTGCCAACAAACCAGTCAAATGGCAGAGAAGATTCCAGTCTTTTTCAGTACCCTCCTAGAAGGTGAAAAGAAGTACAATTTTTGTGTCTGCCGCATGCTGGGCACTGTTGTGGGTGAACCTGTGTTCATCTCTATGTGTCCTTATTTATTGAATTCTTGTCCCAACCCTGTGAGGTGGCTGTTCTTACCACTGTCAGACAAGGTAGCTGAGAGCAGGTTTCTTCCCTTTTTCTTTTTGGCTTGGATCTGATCACATTTCTGTCGACTGAACTGAAGGGTAATGCCTCTGCCATCAGGTGCCACTCGGGCCCGAGTTTGGCCTATAATCGCAGGGTTCCAGCTCCCTTTTCCTTAAACAGAACTTGTAGACACCCTCACTCTGCTAAGATGAGAGTGTGCACAGCCAGAGGAGCACATCCAGTCCAGCCCTCACCTTACGCAGGAGGCACCCGCGGCCCCGGGGACGTGGGGAGGTGTCCGGGTGTCACAGCTAGCAGGAGGCAGAGAGGGACTCAGGCCCACATCTGCTTTCGCAGCCCCGGTCCCACTGCACCGGGATGCCTGCCGTCCGTGTCAGGTGGGGACTGATGCAGGAGGGAGGGCCCCCTTCAGCTACGCGAGGGCTCCTGGCTGACCTTCAGAGACAGTCTGACCTCAGCCTTTTGACACCAGGTATAGGTAGCGTGAGCCAGAAGGGGTGCACTGCTTTCTCCCCCGGCTCCCCTGGGAGAGCTCTGCGTGCCCAGTGCCCGGGAGTCACGCCAGCAGAGCAGTTCCTGCACCCCCGCTGTTCCCAGAGCCGGGGTTGGCCTCCCCGATTGCCCTTGATCCTATCCTAGCCTGGCGTCGTCTCAGTTCTGGTAGCCCCAGATGCATTATTTTAAGTATGGGACATGTGTTCAGCTTTAATATTTAATGAAATTAGCTAATCTTTAATGAGTTTCCCTCAGAACTGCTCTTCCCGCACCCGATCCGTTCTGAATTGAATGACCCCAGTCATTTCTGAGGTCGTTTCTGCCCCTGGTTAATTTTGTGGCATCAGGATATTTAGTTGGGGCTGTTCTCTTCTATGAAGCCTTATTGGAGTATCGCTCTGGTCAGTCTCAGCATGTTAGAGTTGGTGGCAGCTTGGAGAGCCCCATACCTTAAAGACACATGGGATTTTCTGACCTGAGGCCACACAGATAACTGGAGGCAGAGCGTGGGTCAGGACCAGGACTTTTCTGGTCCTGCTCCTGCCCGCTGTGCTCGCTGTCTGCCGGGGGTCCGACCCGGGAGGCCAGAGAGCCACTCTGGTCCTATGGGAACAAGAAGGGAGTGATTCTCCTTTCCTTTCTGAGTTGCCATTGAGACAACATTCACTGACTTGTTGCCAACCTGATTTGAATGTCTTCCTTATTCAGTCTGCAAATAAGTAAGCAGAGGACCCCAGGCCCCCCAGGAGCTCCAAGGGAGGAGGTCATGGTAGCCACACTGCATAGCCTTGCCATCAACTGTGGGCATTGTCATCGCACTCTGGGCTTTGTGCTCTTCTCTGAGCCCGAGGCTGCCATGCTCCTCGCCCTCAAACCCCCCCCACCTCCACCCCATGGACTCCCCCCTCCTGTGACTGCCTGTGTGGTGCCCGCAGGACTCCCAGGTCGCCCCTGCCCAGGTTGCAGACTTCATTTGGTTTGCTTTGGCTTGGATTGCCACCAGCTTCAGCCCTAAGCAACCACGATGGGAAAAGAATAATAAAGAAGACTGATATTTTCTTCTGTAGCACTTAGGCTTCTAGGAATGAGCAGAAGTCCCAGTTTATTTTCTGGATGAGCCGAGCTGTTTCTTGATGCTTTTTGCATGATGCATGTGATTCTCACGACTCATAGGGAGGTGTGTGCTATTGTAGAGCGAGGAGAGGGGGCCTTGCAGAAGCTGGCGCCTGTGAGAGCGCAGCCTTACTTGGGAGCAGAGCCGGCCCCCGCCCTCAGCTGGGAGCCCGTGCCTTCTCCTCGCAGGCTGGCACTGCCTGCCTGCTGCCTAAACCTCAAACTGGGTCGTGGGCTCTTTGTTCCCCCGCTTCTTGGGGTTTAATTAAACTTTTCTCTTTTTCCTCTGAAATAATTCTACAGGTTGATGTTCTTAAGGCAACAGCCCTCCCTCTGTTGAAACAGTTTGGAATTGATGGTGAATCATTTGAGCTAAAGGTAAGAATGTGTACATTGTGGGTTGTATATATGTGTGCAACACATTCTCCTGTGAACTCATGGGAAGGCTGTGTGACTCTGTGTGTCTGTGTGTGTCACATTGAACGTCACCATTGAGAAGACCCCCAGGAGTCATGACTCCAGCATTACAGACTTTGATCTGGAAAGGGACTCTTAAGTTACATCACACTTACTCTGCGGTGGGTGGTGTTGTGAGTGTTGCACACGTGTCCGCTCCCAGTTCCTCGCAGCATGTTGGCTAGTGAGTGGCGGAGCCAGGGTTCTGGCCGCACCCCCTCTCTGGTCGGTATCATCTACATGTGATTTGTGTCTAGGGCCTCCCGACCTGGGTGCCCCTGAGGGTGTTTAGTGTTTTCAAAACTGAGTAGAAGTAATTGAGGCATCCGTTTCTCTGCTGTTAAGGGGGTTACGTCACGAACACTGGGTGTCTTACGCTGGTGTTTAGAATCTATTTCTTAAATGTTTTAAAACAGGGGAAATGACTTCATTTTTATTGAATAAAATGGGTTTTGATAGCTGAGTTAATTGCACAGGAGGAGAAACGGGCTCCCGATGGGTAAGGAATAGGATGAGCCGATGAGCCGGGCCAGTCACTCACTGTTAGGATGAGGGTACAAGCCCTGGTGGTGAAGTGGCTTCGCTGTGACAGGGGCGTGCTGGCCCGGTGTCACTGCTCGGCAGCCGCTGGGTGCCCACCTAAGGAGGGGCTGTCGGTATTGCAGGGACTGACAAGTCGGGCATGAACGAGCTCGCTGCCTCGGAGGGAAGAAGGGGCCGGGCTGGGCGTCAGGGTCTTGCGCTCCACCCAGTCCTCACCTCTTCTTTCTTGCCTCCGGGCAGGTGGTGCGGCGGGGGATGCCTCCCGGAGGAGGGGGTGAAGTGTTCTTCACATGCCCCGTGCGGAAGGTCCTGAAGCCCGTTCAGCTCACGGATCCTGGGAAAATCAAACGCATCAGAGGAGTTGCGTATCCTTTGTGTCTGGCTTAGCTTTCTGTCTCTGACTTGCTTCCCCAGGAGAGGGATGGCTCCCCGCTCCCAGCTGTGGACCTTTCCCCAGAGCTGTTTGCAGTTTAGACGGCAGTCTCAGAGACGTGTTCACCGCACAAAATGGTCATTGTTGGCTGCAATATGATGGTTTATTATCTGTCTCCCCATGACTAGACCGGTTCCTTTATTTTTTTTGTTTTTAATTAACGCACAAGCAGACAACCCCAGGGTCCGTGCGGCTCTCCTGGGGGCTTTGGTTTAGGGGCCGCCGCTGCCATCCCTCCCTCGGAAGAGCGCCCTGTCTGGTGAGGGGAAACTTTTGCAAACATGTAATTCTGATCTAATGTGTGACATGGTGTAGACGGGCACACAGCAGGTTGGGGGAGCTAAGATACAGGATGGCACATTTTGTCTGGAGGATATAGGAGGGCAGGAATAATACCTGTTTATTAAGTGATTATTCTGCAGGCACTGTGATAATAGAAGTGTATACTTGCTTTTATTTTGTTTTTAAAATCCCACTTTATTGGGGCACCTGGGGGACTCGGTTGAGCGTCTGACTTTGGCTCAAGCCATGGTCTCATGGTTCACAAGTTGGAGCCCCACCTTGGGCTTGCTGCTGTCGTCGCAGAGCCCACTTCAGATCCCTGCCCCTCCCTCTCTGCCCCTTCTTCACTCAGACTTTCTCTCTCAAAAATAAATAATTCTTTAAAAATAATTAACTAGAAACCACTTAATTGATGTATGATATACATACAAAAAGCAATATGGATTTAACATTACAGCTTGATGAGTTTGGAGGTTAGTGTGTACCCGAGAGGCCAGCAGCATAATCAGTGCCCTAAACCTGTTCGTTACCTCCTAACGTTTCTTTCTGCCCTCTTCATTTTTAAAAAAATTTTTACACTTTTAATTTTTTGTGGTAACACTTGATATAGGTCTACTCTTTGAGCAGATTTTTAAAGATTATTTTTTAAAGTCCAGTATAATTATCTTAGCAAAATTTTAAGTGTATAATGCAGGCATTACAGCCTATAGTAGGTCTGTAGGACTTAATCATCTTGCATAACTGAAACTCTGTCCCCTTTGAACAGCATTTCCACCTCCCCCTCCCTCCAGCCCTGGCAGCCACATTCCCAGTTCGCTTCTGTGAGGGTGACTGTTTTGGATTCCTTATATAAATAGAGTTAAGCAGTGTTTGTTCTTCTGTATCTGTTCTGTATCTTTCACTTCGTGTCTCTCGCTAAGTGTTATTTGACTTAGCACACTGTCTTCCTTATTAAACCATGTCACAAATACAGCATTTCATTTGTTTTTTTTAAGGCCTAATAATACTCTGTTGTATGTATGTAAATATTACATTTTTCTTTATTTATCTTTCATTGGCCATTTAGGTTGCTTTCGTATCTTGGCTATAGTGAATAACACTGAAATGAACGTGGGAGTGTATTCAGTTTCTGTGGATATGTACCCTAAGTGGGATTGTGGGATCAGTTCACATTCCCACCAACAGCATATAAGGATTCCCTTTTCTCCACACTGTCAGCAGTACTTCTTATCTTTTTTTTTTTTTTTAATAGCTATTCTAACAAGCATGGGGTGATAACTCATTGTGTATTTTTTTTTAAGGTTTTAATGTTTGTTTATTTTTGAGAGAAGGAGTGAGGGGGCAGGGGAGGGGCAGAGAGAGGAGACATAGAATCTGAAGCAGGCTCCAGGCTCTGAGCTCTCAGCACAGAGCCTGAGGTGGGGCTCAAACCCATGACCCGTGAGATCATGACCCGAGCTGAAGTCGGACGGTCGACCGACTGAGCCACCCAAGCGCCCCTAACTCATTGTGGTTTTGATCTGCATTACTCATGACGAGTGATACTGAGCACTTTGTCACATGAAAGTATGAACGTCTCTGGTTCTTCTTTGGAGAAGTATCTCTTCAGGTCCTTTGCCCATTTTTTAAATTGGATTGTTTTAATCCTTTTGCTAATGAGTTGAAAGAGTTTGTTATATATTTTGGAAATTAATCAGAGATATGAATTGCAGACATTTTCTCCCATTCTGTGGGTTGCCTTTTCATTTTTTTTGTTTCTTTTGCCCTTGTGTTGGTATTCCGTCTGAGAAATCATTGCCAGTGCTAAGTCACCTTTTCCCTAGTTTTCTTCTAGAATTTTTATGGTTTTAGGTCTTAGGCTTATCTTTAATCTATTTTGAGTTGATTTTTGTATGTGGAATGTCTGTTGAACAGACTTATAGGGGTTTATTTCTGGGCTCTCTATTCTCTTCCTTTGGTCTGTATGTTTCTATGACAATACCATGCCATTTTGATTACTGGAGCTTTGTAATATATTTTGAAATCAGGAACTCCGATGCCTCCAGCATTGTTCTTGTTCAGAGTTACTTTGGCTTTTTTGAGTCCTTTGTAGTTCTATATAAATTTTAGGATTGTTTTTTTCTGTATCTATTATTCCATAAAAAATATCATTGGGATTTTGGGGCACCTGGGTGGCTCAGTCAGTTAAGTGACTTTGGCTCAGGTCATGATCGCACGGTTTGTGGGTTTGAGCCCCGCATCAGGCTCTGTGCTGACAGCTGAGCCTGGAGCCTGTTTCAGATTCTGTGTCTCCCTCTCTCTCTCTCTGCTCCTTCCTGCTCATGCTCTGTCTCTCTCGTTCTCTCTCAAAAATAAACAAACATTAAAATATCATTGGGATTTAGATAGGGATTGCATTGAATCTGTAGTTTACTTTGGGTGTTCTGGATGTTTTAAGAATATTAATTCTCTCAGTCCATCAACATAGACTGTCTTTCCATTTATTTGTCTTTTAAAGTGTTTTTTTGTGAGTGTTTTATACTTTTTAGTATACAGTTCACTTCCTTGGTTAAGTTTATTCTTAAGTATTTAGGGGTTTTTTGGATGCTTTTGTAAATAGGATTATTTCCTTGATTTCTTACTCGGATAGTTTATGGTTAATGTACAGAAATGCAACTAATTTTTGTATGTTGATTTTGTATTCTGCAACTTACAAAAATATTTATTCCAGTAGTTTTTGTGTGTGCGTGTGGTGATATCTTTAGGGTTTCTACACATAAGATCATGTCATCTGTAGACAGATAATTTTACTTCTTCCTTTCCAATTTGGGTTCCTTTCATTTCTTTTTCATGCTTAATTGCTCCGGTTAGGATTTGCAGTACCATGCTGAATAGGAATGGAAAGAGTGGTCATCCTTGCTTTATTCCAAATTGCAGAGGGAAAGCTTTCAGTTTTCTACCATTCCTGAACATGATATTAGCTGTGGGCTTTTCATGTATGTCCTTATTGTGTTGAGATAAGTTTCTTCTGTACTTAATTTGTTGGGAATTTTTGCTTGTGGCAGAGTATTGAATTGTATCAGATGCTTTTTCTGGATCTATTGAGACAATCTTGTGATTTTTATTCTTCATTCTGTTAATATGGTGCATCACATTAATTGATTTGCATACGTAGAACCTTCCTTGCCTCTCAGGAATAAATCCCATTTGGTCGGTCATGTTACATGATCCTTTTAATGTATTGTTGAATTTAGTTTGCTAATACTTGTTGATAATTTTTGCCTCCATGTTCATTAGGGATATTGGCCTGTAGTTTTGTGTAGTGTCATTAAGGTCTGGCTTTGGTATCAGGGTGACACTGGCTTCATAAAATGAACTTGGAAGTGTTTTCCCTCTGTGATGTTTTTTGAAGTCTAAGGGTTGGTATTAATTATCATTTAAATCTTTGGCGGAATTCACCGGTGAATTAATTGTGAAGCCATCTGGTCTTCGTTACGAGGTTTTCGATGACTGATTCAGCCTCCTTACTTGTTATTGGTCTGTTCAAGCTCTAGTCTTGATGCAGACTTGGTAGAATTTATCTATTTCTTCTAGGTTGTCCAATTTGTTGGCATGTAATTGTTCATAATAGTACCTTATTATTATTATTTTTTAATTTGCGTCATCAGAATGTCTTCTTTTTCATTTCTGATTTTATTTACTTAAGTCTTCTCCCATTTTTTTCTTAACCTAACTAAGGGTTTGTCAGTTGTTTATCTTTTAAAAGAACTGACTCTTTTGTTGATTTTTTTTTCCTGTCGGTTTTTGATTTTCTATTTCATTTCTACCTACTTTGTTATTTATTTCCTTCTGCTAACTTTGGATTTTAGTTTCTTCTTCTTTACCTAGTTCTTTGAAGTGTAAAGTTAGGCTATTTGAGACCTTTCTTCTTTTGTAGAAGGAATGTAGGTGCTTATCACTATAAAATTCCTTCTTGGTATTCCATTTGCTCAGTCTCAAAAGTTTTGATATGTTGTGTTTTCATTTTTGTCTATAGATTTTCTAATTTCCGTTTTGATTTCTTCTTTGACCCCTGGTATGTTCAAGAATGTGTTCATTTTCATCTCTTTGTAGATTTTCCCATTTTCTTTCTATTATTAGTACTTACTTTCATTCGTTGTGATTGGAAAAGTTACCTGAGGTGGTTTCAGCCTTCTTAAATGTGTTAAGACATGTCTTGTGACCAACCGTGTGATCCTGGAAAATGTTCCCTGGGCACAATAAGAAGAATGTGTGTCCCTCTCCTGTTGGGTGGAATGTGCTATGGATGTGTGTGAGTTCCATTTGGCTTATAAAGTTGTTCAAGTCTTCTATTGCCTTACTGATTTTCTTTCTGCATGCTCTACGCATTATTGAAAGTGGGGTGTGAAGTCTCCTATTGGTGTTGTATTGCTCTTTCTTTAGATCTGTTGATGTTTGCTTTATATATTTAGGTGAGCTGATGTTGACTGCATATATATTTATAATTGCTATATCTTTCTGTTGGATTGACCTTTTATCATTGTATGATCAACTTCTTTGTCTCTTGTGACTTTAAATATTTTAAACTTATTTTTATTTATTTCAAGTGTGAGTGGGGGAGAGGGGCAGAGGAAGGAGGAGAGTCTTTTTTTCTTTTTTTTTTTTT